TTAACTGTTGTATGTCAAGCTGTTAAACATCTCGTGGTTGACATCTTGTTCTGTGATCCTGCAGGCGGCAGCTAGACACCAGTGTTCCTACTTGGTGAACCTCCACGTGAACGATTTCCTCCAGGTCGGGGGGGATCCCAAGTGGCTGAACGGCCTGGATGAAGCCCCGCAGAAGCTCCAGCAGCTCGGGGAACTCAACAAAATCCTGGCCCACCGACCATGGCTTCTCACCAAGGAACACATTGAGGTGAGAGGAAGGGCATGGTCTGGAGGGGGAAGGACATTAAGAGTGTTACGCAACGGGCTGAGATCAGAGGTGGAGTGGGTGTAGCTGCAGCTGTAAAACTTTGAGGGGTTTGGGAAAGTGACAGTGGAGGTATGGTAAAAAAGGGATGGGGTTAAGACTGGAAATCAAACATAAATAGGATAGGAAGGATGAAAGCACCTTTTCCACTTCTGTTGATGTCATCTTTTTAGGCTCCAGTTGTCATGACTAACTTTATTTTACATCATTTTTTCCAGCGCCTTCTGAAGGCAGAGGAGCACAGCTGGTCCCTCGCAGAGTTAATCCACGCCGTGGTCCTCCTCACACACTACCACTCCCTCGCCTCATTCACTTTCGGCTGCGGCATCACGACGGAGATCCACTGCGACGGCGGGCACACTTTCAGACCGCCCTCCCTCAGCCAGTACTGCGTCTGTGACATTGCCAATGGCAACGGTCATTCTATTCATCACGACGATTCGCTTGGCAACCAGGTGAGTGGTGGAGGATGATGTGTGAGCTGGAGCATGTCAGGGGTTTCTTATTGGGGTGTAAAACTTAAAGCGGAACACCAGTATATTATTTCCATGGCTTAGAGAAATGTAATCTATATTGGTACATCAGATACTTTTTCTGAAAGTATGAAACAGGAGAAGTATAATACTTGTTGATGTCATTGAGTGTTGAGCTGCTCCATACACAAAGAATGGCAGACTGATTTGTGTGGACACACACAATGTCAGTTTTCTTTTTTTAACATGTCCCCATATACTCTCATTATGTAAAATTATATATATTTCCCCATTAATTGTCTATAGAGTATTTGTACTTGATGACATCAAAAAATGTAGATTTAGAACTGGGAGTGTTCATATTAACCAATGTATTTTAACTGTCTTAGACCAGAAGAATACCAATTATGATTTTTTTTTTTTCTTTCTTTAAAAAAAAAAAATTGGCATAGTTTCCCTTTTTTAATCCATGCATTTAACATCTTGTATGCGTGTTGTTAGGTGCTAACATGTTTGAAGCATCTGATTTGAAAATGCTCCTTGTAGGATTTTTCCTGATTTTGCTTTGTTTCTGTAGGAGTTGTGCGGCGAGGTGAAGGTGCTGATGGAGCGCATGAAGCAGCTGCAAGAGTGCGACGATGAGGAGGCGAGTCAGGAGGAGATGGCGACTCGCTTTGAGAGGGAGAAGACTGAGAGCATGCTGGTGGTCACAGCGGAGGACGAGGAGTGTGTCCCTTCCAGAGACATCTCCCGACACTTTGAGGACCCCAGCTATGGCTACAAGGACTTCTCCAGGAGGGGGGAGCACGTGCCCACATTCAGAGTGCAGGTAGGAATCAGATATAGCATGGATGTAGAGAACAGTACGCTCAAACAATGGTCTAACACATGACTGTTATTAACTTCATATCTCTTGTTTCTGCAGGACTACAGCTGGGAGGACCATGGCTTCTCTCTGGTGAACCGGCTGTACCCTGATGTTGGTCAGATGCTGGACGAGAAGTTCCAGATGGCCTACAATCTGACGTACAACACCATGGCAACACACAAGGATGTGGACACCAGCATGCTGCGCCGGGCCATCTGGAACTACATCCACTGCATGTTCGGCATCAGGTCAGTCACTGGACGCTCAGGAGGACATGTTGTCTTTTTTTATGACTTATATTTTGTAACCTGGCCCGTTATGTGTTTTCTAACGCTGTGTCTCTCTGTGCTCTTCAGGTATGATGACTACGATTACGGGGAGATAAATCAGCTTCTGGACCGTAGCTTTAAAATCTATATCAAGACTATGGTGTGTAGTCCTGAGAAGACCACCAAACGAATGTATGAGAGCTTCTGGAGGCAGTTTCAGCACTCCGAGAAGGTAAGATCGTGATTCATCCTGGTGTGTAGCAGCTCTTTTAATTCTGTCTTAATGTTCAATGTCTAATAGGTGTCTCTTTTTCCTCTTGTTTGTCCTGCAGGTCCACGTTAATCTGCTTCTTATGGAAGCGCGAATGCAGGCGGAACTGTTATACGCTCTGAGAGCGATCACCCGCTACATGACATGAAGTGCTTTTGGCGTTTTTATCGTTGTCTTTTGACTGTCTTTGTCGTTGCTCATAATGGGACACTTCAAGAAAAAGAAAAAAAAAGAATATAAAAGTGGGGGAAACGTGAAAAGCCCTGGGTTGTGACGGTGCTTGTTGGATGGATGTTGAGAAGAGGATCAGAACAAATTTAAAGAAAAGAACTGAAGTCATCTCAGACTGGATACACAAGCTCGTGTTGCCTGCAGTGCCAAAACTGACCAAGAGAGGGCCGCCTGGAGCAAACTCCGGCTCTGCTCCGGGGTTTGTTCCAGGTAGAGGTTTCAGTGATCCAGCATATCTCTTCTGTCTCCTGGTAGAGTGAAGACCCACAGAAAGCTGTGCAGCCAGAAACAGTCTGCACTTTGATTCTGTTGTCACTGTTATATTTGTTAGTTTCTTTAATATCTTTTTATTTCATTTTGTATTAAGGGAAGTTGTTGTCGATGTGGTTGCTTTTAGTGGTAACTGGAGATGGAAGCATTAACTTTGGGCGTTTTTTTTCCTTTATTTTTTTTATACGTGTGCCTGAACTATCCAGCACAGAGTTCATACGTGCTGATGCTGCTGCTCCCATGTTGTATTCAGCGGGGTCATATTGATCCCCAAATCAACCAACCAACCCCATTTTATCCCCTAAACCCCCTACCCATTAGAAATCCACTGCATTACTCCCTCTACCCCCCATCCCATATCTCAAATGTCAATGTAAGCTAATCTAAGGAGGTGTGTGAAAAAAAACTCAAAGAACACTGTCTGAGCCCTTTTTTTGAGTTTGACTGTAAACGTGTGGATGAGTTCTGTGTTCATGATGACTGAGGTGTGTGTGTGTGTGTGTGTGTGTGTGTGTGTGTGTGTGTGTGTGTGCTTGTGTGTTTGTTTCCCAGAAATGACGGAGAAAAAAAAAAGTTTGTCTTTAAATTTCATGTGTCAAAAAAAAAGCGAGGCACTTTGAAGGAACGCCTTCTTGCTTCTGCTGTAGCTCTGTTATTGTGAGATGACTGTTTTATCATTTGTTGTTGTTGTTTTTTTTTTTTTTCTGGTAATGGGGAGGGGGGGGGGGATGTTAAAAAAAGAAAAGCTAATCAAAAAGAAAGTTAGAAACCAGGTTTCCAGGGGGATTTGCTTCCGGTTGCCCTGACCACACATTATCTGTCTTCCGCTTATCCCAGCTGTCTGGTCATCCTAACACTTTCAAAGCTTTGGATTGTGAATTTACCAGTAAATGAATACCTCTTCTGTTTTTCTCTATAAAACTTATAAGAAGTGCTCTTTGGTGAGCAGAGACTCTTTCCGGGCGCCGTGTCCCCTTTGTTTGGGGACCCGGGGCCGACTGCGGTCGATTTTAGCTGTCGAACGCAAAATGTTGTAGCTGTGCTTATTTCCCGGCTGGGGAAGTCTAACCAGTGCGAAAGAAGCTTTTTTTTATTTTGAACAGAGGTGTGAGGCCTCTGCTGTTTTGTTTTTTGTTTACTAAAACCAGTAAAGTACTGCATTCTTCTGAGGGTGGATTGAGAGTCAGACAGATGAATGAGTGAAGAGGAGGAGGAGGGTGATGATAAAAGAATGGTACATTTGGAAGTGGTTTGAGAGGAAGTGGAGGGTTTTTTTCTTTCAAACTTCTGACTGATGTCAGTTACTGACACTTTTATATGAAAATATATTAAAAAGATGAAAAAAATAAAACAAACTATGATATTGAATTGTTGTGTATCATTCGTAGTTTTCTCCTTAACAATTTGATTTCACTGCTTCATCGAGGAAATTATATTAGATGTGGAGAGGCCGACACAATTCAGGAATAAAAAACTCAGCACAATCAGCATCGGCTCACTTCCACCGTTTGAGTTTAGAAAATTAAATAATGGTGAGATGACTCATGAGAAGAGGTGGGGAGTTGTTCCATCACCTTATGCTCCAACGTACACTCAGCTGTTTGATAATAAGGCTGACTTCATCCACAGCGAGCTGAACTCAGCCTAGCATCAGTAAGGTCCCGGGACTCTTCATTTAATGTATGACTCACTGAGAACCAGAGCCCTGCTCTGTGGAGCCGTCAAGGTCAAAGTTTCTCTTTGCTCCTGACCAATAATTCGAGATAAGGGGGAATCCCTTGTAGGAAACGTTACCTCTCTTTTCTATTTGCCTCCCTATCACCTCACTGGGAAAAACCTTCATTTCCCTGGTGAGGCTTGTTATCTGTCTGAAGTTCAGGGTGTTTCTTATCGAGGCCTGTGTGTTTGTTCTCACTCACCAGAGAAACTCAGTGTTATCCTAAACTGCCTTCACTTTTTTCGGTTCCTCCAGATGATAAATGAAAAAGGAAACCTTGGCATCAGCCAGCCGGCTGTCTTTCATATCAACGTGAGAAACTTAATGTGGAGAACAATGTTTGTTATTAGCTCTGGCTAAAGGATCATTTGGCGTTTTTTGAAACATCGGCTTGTCTTGTGGTTGTTTAAAGGTCTCTATAGTGTGAAAACTGGGGGAAATGACAATATGGGTTTTTACATGAAGTGCCATTTCTGATTTGTCTCAATGTAATAACCATGTGATTTTGAAATGCTGTACTTTAGGTGTACTTGGTGTAACTTGTAAGCACTGTCTGGCCCCATATCTGTGTAATAAAAAAGGCTATGAGAAGCAAACTATGTTTTTCCACTTGTTTCTTTATTATGTACAAGTTTCAGTGTCACAAAATCCCTGCACAATAAAACATTTACTTGTTAAGGTAAATTCCATGTTAGTCATCTGTTTTTCAAGACTACATTATCATAAAAGAACCTTTACAACACAGTCAGCTAACAAAACAGATAACGTCTGTTATATACATGTGCAAAGAGCTTAAAAGTACATCTGTAGGTACCCAAGTCAAGGCTTCTGTTAGCTTTATGGGAATTAAAGTGCATAAAAAGTTAAGCTGTTGTTATTCTTCAGACGCAGAGTGATAAAAAGCTACGCAGAACATGTTTATAGAGACAAATAATTGAGAAACAAAGTATACTCACATCCACACAAACTGTATCATTTATCAGATTTACCCTGCTTCTTTTATTTAGCATTATTTCATTTATCAGACATCTTTAATTGTTTTGAATATGACTTGCTGCTTATCTTTTCGCCTAAAAACGGTCTGCAAAAGGTTTCTAGTATCATGGAAAATCTCATCAATAAATAGCAAAGAGCAACAGTCAGTATGAATTGTGAGAAATTGCCATCATTTTTGCTAAATAATGACAAACGTGTCCTAGAAAGTGTTGGATTAAATGATGCTGCAGTAGTGGTTTGAGACATTTAAAAGGTGTTTTTACTTTTTTTGCCTTCAAAACTATCAAGAAAATCCACTGTGACAGAAATGAATTCATGCTGACCTTACCTTATGCCCTCCATTAATAAAGAAAGCTTTCTCTACACCGACAGGGGATAAGGGTTAAATAGTGAAGTTAGTTTAGGTTTTTGTATATGAGAGTTAAAAACAATGCTAAGGCCTCAACAACATAAAACAACCACAACATCCCACAACATTCGTCAGGCTGTCCAATCCAGAGGCTGGAGAGACTTCAGCAGTTTTTGAGCTGCAGGTAAGAACTCTAACTCCCAGCATGCCCTATGGTAGTCCTTGATGTCTTCATTCTCTATCCACCTCAGAGCCTCCTCTTCATCTAAGGAATTGAGAAGATTGGACACAGGATGAGAGAGTGTAGTGAGAGGTTTCAGGTTTTTTGGATACTTTTAACTGACAGGTTTTATGAACATGGAGGTATTTTGTTCTTGTTGCGTTCCCCTCCCTCTCCCCCCAGAGGGCCACTAGTGTGAACAACAGCATGTTTTTGCCAGCTTGTCTCCCTCCCTTGTTATGTAAGGATTAGTAATAACACCAACCTAAGTATGTAGTGAGGATCTCCACCAGCGACTCTCTCTCCTGTGTGTCCAGCAGCGTCTCTGAGCCGCCGCCGCTCATGTTCCACAACGCCTGACAGACCTGGCCCGCCAGCTGCCAATCACCTGCTCCGAAGTCTCTCAGACAATCCACAAGCCTGGTCACACACACACACACACACACACACACACACACACACACACACACACACACACACACACACACACACACACACACACACACACACACACACACACACACACACACACACACACACACACACACACACACACACACACAACACACACACACACACACACACACACACACACACACACACACACACACACACACACACACACACACACACACACACACACACACACACACACACACCACACACACACCCACCACACCGTGGTGCACTCGAGGGAGAAGGATTCACATGACCAGCAGGTTTGTGGGCATTAGCCCCACTTCCATTGAACTAACATCTGAAGAAGTACTGTGTGTGTGTGTGTTGTGTGTGTGTGGTGGTGTGTGGTGGTGTGTGTGTGTGGTGTGTGTGTGTGTGTGTTGTAAAGGGGAAGTGTATACTCAGATGTTCACAATGTTCACACAATAGCTAAACATTTACACATCTAAATAGAGAATCTAAAATCTGTAATTATAACTGTATTTGTTGTTATACCCACTTGTTATACTTGTCAGTGGAGTTGTTACGCACATGTTTCTCATTATGAAGAACTATTTTCCCACCAAAAGAAAGTTTACTCTACGTTTCAAAGAGGATTGCAACTTTGGGCCAAGACTCAAAAAGAATGAGCTCCAGGTTTTCTATTTAAGGGTACTGCAACATTATTTTAGCCATGAAGGAGTTAGAAAAAATAATAATTCTACTGTCTTATCTGCCCACTGAATATGACGCTAAGGCCATTAGCAGGTTAGCATAAGGACAGGAAGCAGTTAGCCTGGCTCTGTTCAAAAGTAACAAATAAACCCCTGGACTTCTGATATTGTATAGATAAAACTAACAATATATAACATGTTAATCAGTGGATTTTGTTAGACTTTCTTTACTTCAAACAACAACATGTATTTCTTCTTGTTTCCTGTCTTTTTGCTAAGGTAAAATAAGCTAAGCCAAGCGAACTGTCCCTATTATAGCAGTTATTAGTGATGTTTTATAGTAAATTTCAAGTAATTACCATATTGTGATTTCAATATTATGTATTATGCAGGGTAGATCTGCTTTTACTATATCTAGTAAAAAGCCCTGGCAATGTCTGTCAAATAAAATATGTACTATACGGGTCCTTTCTAAGTGCATAAGTCCTTACTTGGCATCAGCCCCCTCCACTACGAGACTGAGCCTGTTGGGGGGGTCCAGCGTCAGGTTGGTGAGGACCCCGCAGGCTGAAAAACACATCTCAGTGCTTTTTGAGTCGAGCAGCGTCACTACAAACTGGTGCACTGAAGGAAGGAGGGAGGAGAGTGGAGAGAGATGATGATGTGAGGGAGCGGGCGAAGACAAAGCAGGTCAAAGATAAGAAGGCTGCTATCACCAGAGTCAGCAGGCGTGTTTACACTGACAGAAGCTGGCCTTGCAGATAAGTCCAGCCTAAACATGACACAACAGTATGCAGAGCTGCCTACTGTACTGAGCACTGAGTCAAGGTACTCGGTGTTATGTAATGTTCTGTGCATGGATTATATGATTTCTGCATCCATAGGCCTCTTTTTCTCTGTATTACTAGGCTTTAAAGATGTCGGTTTATTCTCACATGGCATATCTCTCCTGCAAGAGTCAATGAAGTATGGCTTAAACAAAAAATAAGGAAGCAAAGTCTCACGTGGCAGTGTTTTGTGTGTGTCTGTTGGTGTTTGTTTCCATCATATACCTTTGTTTTGCATAATAAAGTCCCGTACATCCTTGGACTGTGACAAATTTCCATACACACGGGTGGCCTCAAGCATGGCGTCCATACTGGAGCTGAGCACCAACTTCAACATCACTGAGGGAGAGGGAGCAAAGTAAAAGAGAGAATAGGGAGAGGGAAATTGAACAAAAAGCAGAGAGAATGGGGGCGAAAAGTGTAAAATCAGCTAAAACTAAACAAATATTAACTCTTAATCTATATTGGGATCCGTCAGTTTTTCAGTCTTACACTTTGCGATGGTGAGTTGACTGCGCCTGAGTGCAGAGCTCTCCTCCTGGTAGAAGGACAGGTTGTTGATGGTGGCAGCCACATTCACCATTAACTCTTCGCTTTCCAGCACAGTTTTCAACTCTGTGAAACAAACACACACACAAGAAATAAGAGAATAATCCCCACTAAAAGCAAGTTCAAAAAATATCATTTGTAATATAGACATGTTGAGGTTCCTTTAAATCCCCCTGTGTAATTTGAACCAACAGAGGGAGCAGGCAACAGGGACAGGCTTTCATTCTGCTGATATATTACTCTATTTATACTATCCCATTATTTTAGTCACAACATAATGTGACACATTATCATTACATAACTTTCCAGGTCATTTCAATGTTAAGAACATATTCACTGAGAGCGGAAAAAAACACCTAATTTTTAATGACTAACCAGGTGCATCCAATGAAAGCGTGGTTTCCTTTTATGTAGATGAAGAAGATAATGCAATGGTAGATTATCAATCCATAAAACAACTGAAACATGGATCGTGAAAACTGTCAGAATAAATATGTTAGTTTTTTTACATTTCTAGTCCAATGCAAATGCATACAGACTAATAGTTCATCAGTGATATACAGCTTAAATTATATAACGATCTAAATAACGACACAGAAATACCGGGGACCTTTTTGCATCTTACAGCTTGGACACACTGATGTGCCACCGTGACATTACCATAAAAGAAGTTGTTATCTCCGGTTTGTTCTTGATATAGTCCATTTGATCATGAGCTGGCACACAAAGGTCAGCTTGACCCAATCCACCCAGCCGTGACATCGTGAGTGGCTTGGAAACTGTGTGCTCCTGATTTAGCAGCAGATGTAGAGTGCTCAGTCATAAATCGCGGATATTGCGGTTGCTGTCAACCAGCGGCTGTGTGTCACACTGAATTTTGTTTTGGTTTCTGACTGGAAATACTGCTTTGTTCTGCCCCCCCCCCCTCAAAGCTCTGTAATGTAAAGCAGCACTGTCTGTCATTGAACTTGATCAAAACAGGACATGGATCAGCCAGTTTTGCTCTTTTATCCTCTGCAGAGATTCTGTTTCCATCTTTCAAAACAACTCTATATTCTCCCTCATTAAATGTCTCTTTCTTCAGTTCCTTCATTTGCTCCCCATCTCAGACTCTGGTATCGATAACACACCCCCATATGTTTGGAGATTTGACATTTTCTCACTAGTTTGACCTCTGTTTTGTTTATTTAATTTATGTCCCAACTGTCGCGAAGTGTGTAGGAGGCAGGCAGCAGAGAAATCAAGAGTTTCATACCCTCTCTGTGTTTCGGTTCAACCTGTCCTGAAACCATCTAACCACATAGGAAGATTTCTCACACACACACACACAAACCAAGTGTGCCGTGCGATGTGACAGAACATCCTGCTTTTGCAGTGAAGCGCCTCGCTCTGCCAGACAAAACAACAGGTAAACCAAAAAGAGGATGTGCTGCGTATCGAACAGAAAGCCCTGAAAGGAAAGCGAGCGAAGGAATGTACAGATGTGTTTTTCAACCAAAGACACATCTCGTTCCCAGCACAAGGGAAGTGGTTTGGTGCTGAGCAGATACTGTACTTACAATGCACCAAACAGCTATTTTTAAACTTATCGGAACTCCAGATTTTCACACACTGCTCTCTTTGTATCACAGAGAAAAACAACTGGAGGAAAGGACCAATCTAAAAAAGTTACAGCTGTAATTATGTGATTTTGTCAAACTTGTTTAGGATGCGAATATGAACTGCTACCATCTAATCGGAGATACAGGGTCCCGCGATTCAATAAAGTCAGACTGAAGCACTCCTTTGTGCATCAGTCAATCTTCACAGTAAATACAGAGCTGTAAATGCACGCTAAAGGGTCTTTGAACATGCTCAAAGACCCTTTAGCGTGCATTCAGGGATTTAGCTCTCAGTGATTGTGCTGTTATGTTAAATGTTTGTTGTTTATTTTTCATGTATTGTTGTCTTGATATTTGTCTATGTTGATGTTACACATGGAGCTGCTGTGATGCAAGTCAAATTTCAGACCTGATCTGACCATTAAAGTATTATCGAATCGTATCATATGAGTCTACTGCTCACCAAGTGTCTCCATCAGCAGCTGAATGCAGGATGTGTTGCTAGCCAGATCTGGACCTACAGCTGGGTGGATGCACATGTTGGCCAGCACCCTCACCAGCTTCACCAGCACGTCTTCCTCCTCCTGCACGCTCGCTGGGGCTGCCTGAGGCCTGCTGAGGGGAGGGGGGTCTTTCTGTAGGGGTGGAGGGCGGTTTCTGTGCTGGTACGTGGCGTACAGCTGCAGGAGCGTGTCCATGCAGCCCTCGACCTGGAAGAGCTGCAGCCGAGCCTCATCGCTTTTGGCTGTGAGGTTCCCGAGGGTGAAGAGAAGTCGCACAACAAGGTCCTGTGGGAGAGCAGTGGAGAGCCGTGCAGGGGTCAATCTACAGCTTTTTGTGTTTGTTTTTCCTTCTGAATTCAAACAAACCAACCACAAATGTCTGTGTTTAGATGTTTCTGTCTAATAAACTTGGCTACAAGGCCAGAGCATGTTGAGAAAAGTGACTTCAAAGCTTCAAACTAGGGCTACGGTATCAGATTTCCACTACATATTTTCATGGGAAAAATAAATCCTAATAAAACTAATATTGTGATAATATGATGATGGTTTTACTTAGTTTATTGTGCACGTTTGTGAAATAAATTACACTTATTTGTGTGTGGGTTATTGGTGGAGGGAGACATGGGGAGAACGGAAATAAAACTGAAATAATTTAGGAGAGGCAGGAGTATTTACACAATATCATCATACATATATTATTATTGCTATTCTTGTTTTGTCCGAACAGCAGGCCAAAACCCAAATATATTCAATTTACAATTATATAAAACAGAGAAAAGCTGGAACCAGTACATGTCTTGCATTTGTCTTGATGGTTATATAAAGAATATAGTATATTTATAGTATATTTGATTAATAAAAGATCTCCCCAAAGTGACAGTCAACAATATATTCGATGAGATTTCCGAAGCTCAACAGACACGTCACCTGCGCTGTCAAGTAGCACTATGCCGGTGTCACTCATTTCCCATGGGGAGCTAATAGCTCTGTACACATATTTTAAGTGTGATCCTGCTCATCTTTCTAATTAGTTATCGCACACTTTCCAAGAAACCAAGAAACCCCACCCCTGTACCCCAACTCTGCTTAAGACGAAGCAGGTGAGCTTGGATACACACTGTTTCCCATAAATGCGCAGTGACATTGGTGTGTGTCCCAGGACCAGGTGCTCATTACATGTATTACTATCCTGTGTGTGTGTGTGTGTGTGTGTGTGTGTGTGTGCGCGCGCGCGCGCGCACGCGCGCGTGCGTGCGCGTGCGTGTGTGTGTGTGTGTGTGTGTGTGTGTGTGTGTGTGTGTGTGTGTGTGTGTGTGTGTGTGTGTGTGTGTGTGTGTATATGTGTGGCATAGCATTACTATACTTGTGGGGACCTAAATCTGTTTACACAGTCACGTGTGGGGACTCGCCTCCCTTATGGGGACAAAATGGAGGTCCCCATGAGGGGAATCATTAATTTTAGGGTGAAGACTTGGTTAGGTTTAGGGTTAGGGTTAGGCACATGTTGGTTATGGTTAAGGTTAGGATACGTCTCCAGGAAATGCATGTAAGTCAATGTAATGTCCCTTGAAGTGATGTATACATGGTATGTGTGTGTGTGTGTGTGTGTGTGTGTGTGTGTGTGTGTGTGTGTGTGTGTGTCTGATTATTCCTGGTAAGATTAAGAACACATGTCAGTCATTTCTGATTGCCAAAGTCCCACCCATTTTTTTTCCGCCTCCTCTTTGTCACCACTCCTCCCCTCCACCTCTGTATCACCTCTACTGTAGTATCTACTCAAGCTTGTCTCATTAAATGTTTTTTCTCCTCCTCCCTCCCTCCATCCCTCCGCCCCTTTCTTTGATTTACTCGGCCCTGCCTAGGATGATTAAATGTCAAAAACAACCACGAGAAAGTGGGAAGAACGCAGGTGGACACAATGTCCCCGTAAATGTGCTTAGACTTGAGGTACATAAACAAACTGCTCTGAGGGTAAACATGCTAATGGAATTAAGTCATCAGCACTGGAAAAAAGTTTGTCTTCATCTCACTGTTACGCGCACACACACAAGAACACACACACACTCACACAAGAGGAAGCTCGTGGACTCACCTGTTTTTGGTGATGTTTGCTCAGCAGTTCTAATAATAGTTGGTAGCAGTCGGGGGTCTGGGCCAGAGCGAGACGGCACTCCGAGTAAGAGGAGAGTTTACTGAGGGAGAGAGGGGACAACAAACACACTGACTGTTCCACTCACTCGCAGACATTAAATCAACACTGCTAATGGATAAGCAGCTCTGGTCTGTGATCTACCGCTCATGCTTTCATTATCTTGGGCTGAAAAACACTTCCATTACAATCTAAAGTGCTAAATGTTTCACAAACTGATAAAAAAAACGTATGAGACCGACAGCGACAAACTGAAGATGGGGAATGTGGGGCCCAAAGCCCTCTGTCAGTGTCGGGTATGACCAGTAGGGGGTTAACGTTAGCAAACTCTTTAGATAGATCTTACTGCATTACTAAGTTAGTTTTGACAGCTTCACTTATAGAAGTAGTAACATTGTATAGCTAAAACTATGTGTGTATATATGTAATTTATTTCCAAATACATTCATATACAGTCTCATAAGCCTGAGTTTAAGCCTGTGTTGAATTAGTCTTCAGTGGTGTTTTATGTGATAGATATTTATGGAGCTTGTATGACTTTATTGTCCCCACTGCCATGAAGATCACCCTAATAGTGTTGTCTAACTCTGCAAGTTCATGCAAGAAACCGTTTGACTTTAGTTAGTTTAAATGTGTGAAAGTTCTCAGTGTGCCTTTTTTCGCATGTAGGTCTTCACATTTAAGCTCATTTGTACATTCTGAAGTCTATACTGGAAAAAGCTTTTTAAAAAGTTTTTTTTTTTTTAAATCACAGAAATACGTATAATGACATCTCCTCTGACATATGCTCTGTTTCTCTGGAGACTCTTGTTTTGTGCTACAAACAAAGACTCCAAGTTATAGGGGGGAAAAAAGAAAGTAGGGAATTTAGTAGTACAGCGACTGCTGCAGAGAGAAGTGAAAACAGAGAACAGAGGGTGAGAGCTGAATGATGGCTTGTTTTGATTCAGCTTGTGACAGGTTACGATGTTTTTTTGTAAGTGAGCTGGGGAGAGGAGTACGAAGAAATAAGGAGCAGATTATCCTTGGGAAGTAAAAGTGCAATACCTGTATATTCTGGAGATGTTGGTGCAGATGTCTGGGTCTTTGTGGTGAAGACGCAGCACCACAAAGAGCTCTGACAGTATAGAGAAGGAGACGAAGAGTGGACGGGCATCAGGGTGATCTGCAAGGTTCCTCAAGGCTGCCGTCAGCTGCAGGAGTCAGAGGTCAGACAGAGGGAAATATAAGTGAGAGCGTTGGACAGCTAGAAGAAATGTACCTGTTAAAGGATTTATATTTAAGCCAGTATTGTGTGTCAGCGTTGTGCTGCACTGAATGTCAGTCATGTGCTTAATAAGGCTGGCAGGTGGCCCGTACAGGACACCATACAGCAGAGCGATCGGAAACTATTCAGTATGGCCAAGAATAATTATATCATAGGAGGGAAACAGCAATTTCCAACTCACGGCAGCACTGAAAGTTCTGCAAAACCATGGTCTGTTTATTTCCCTCCACTAACAGCTTTAATGAGTTAGATATCAAATAAAGTTCTGGCTCAAGATGTTTGCTTGGGCCACATTATGCAGTTAGCAGCAATCATTTTAGAAAGAGGGAAACAGGGTGTTTTGTGTTGCCAGTAGGGAATGGTATGCTCTTGGAGCAGCTTGTATTCCAGACACAAACACAAGCATTTTTGTGTATTGTGGGAAAATCTACAGCCAACATACACATGATGAAGAATATTTAACATTGTATTCCTTTGTATTGACTTAACTTTTGCTCGCATAGTAAAACTGTTTGTAATAGCATCTGTGTTTTTGTGAGCAGGAGTACATGCTTCAAGTTTCCACCAGCTGTGGGACACAAGCTATTGGTTTGTAAAGAATAATGTACATTACATATCTAAAGATTTATTCCAAATACCCATTCAACTTTCTCAACTGGGTTCATTCTGACACACCTGTACGAGGATGTGCCCTGATGTGGTGAAGTTGGTTTCTCGTGCCGTGCAGAGCCTCTGGATGAGTTTCTGAGCCACACCAACACAGTTCTTGTCCAGCAGGAGTCTGAGGATCGCACTGTTTCCTGAGAGAAATTTCAGAGTCCCAACACAGTACAGCAGAGCTTCTTCAGATGATGACACATCCTCTTTGCTCAAAACGCCCAGAAACGAGTCTGAACACATGACAAATCAAACGTTAGTATCCATAATTTGTTCACTCAGTGGGACATTGGCAATCTGTAATGCCCTGGTAAACAGGTTCCATAAAAACTGCACCAAATAGTACCAGACAGATACACAATGATGCATGCTGTTGAAGCAGCTTAACATTGTGTTCCCTCATATTCATAAAAATAACATTGTGGCCTTAACTTATATATTTCAGAATATAGGAAAGAATAGGAATAACACTGTAAGCTACATCATGTGACCTGGAACAGTGTTCACCTATGATGGAGTTGTTCTGAAAGAGGATGTCGTTGCTTTCACTGCGGCTGATCTGGAAGATGAGCTTACAGATGTTGAGCAGATTGTTTCCACTGACACACAGCTGCAGAGAAAGATGCAAAAAGAAAGGTGTATTAAGCGCCAGAGTGCCCTGGATGCCCTTGTGGTAGTGACTGAGCGGCAGACATGCTGACACCCCCGCAGACGACTCACAGCGAGGCAGAGCGTGGCGATGTGCAGGTTGAGCCGGGCAGAGTGGAGGTCGATGAGGCGGAACAGCGTTCGAAGTATCCCTGACCTCCTCTTACAGCGCCGGCCGAGCATGTCCGCTTCTGCCAAAATGCCATGGAGACGGTCACACACATCACACAGAGGGTCCACCGAGCCCTCGGAGCTGCCTGGCATCGCAGGAAAAACAGATATTGGCAAAATTAAAGGTCCCCTATTATACTGTTTTTCATCAATATATTATAGTTCTCAGATACATACAAAATATGTCTCTGAATCATCACAGATCACGCATTGTAGCATCCCATAAAACCCTCTGTTACACGAGCCAAAAAATCGTTATGACATCATAAAGTGGCCACAATCTGATCAGCTCATTTTCAGACAGGTTTTTTATATAAATGGATCAGGACAAAAAGAGAGGGGGTCTTTGTTCCTGAAACTTTCAGAATCTCTTTACACAGAGGGGACACATGTTTATGTATAAAAGACATGAAAAAGTGGATTTTGCATAATAGGGGACCTTTAAGGAAAGTCAAATTCAGGGCAACATGTCAGACATTCAAATGGAAAGCAAACATCCCAAAAACCGAAACACCCAGTTGTGTGTGTTGGAAAGTGTGTATCAATATAAATACAGATGAGTGATGTTTTGTATATGTTGTGGTGTGTTTGTTAAATTCGCTTTGGCTTTGACATGGTGTACTTTTGTCATGAGGTTAACTCTTCAACATCAATAATGCATTGGTCAGCAGTAAAATAACATTCCCCTCCCTTTTTCTAAGAAGCAGCTCTGAGTTTCGACGGTCATGTGCAGGGGAACAACTCGGCTACAGGCAGCTGGGATCTTGACGCAGAGGAAGAGAAAAGGGTGGAGTCTTTTCCTTGTTTTTGAGGTAAAATAAATGTTTTCCCTGCATAAAGAACAGGGTTTGGCCATTTCTAAGAAAGGTTGGCTGCAGTCTTACACTCAACACTTCACTGCTATTTCCACTGACTCTGAAGGGTGTTTTATGCATGAACCAGAAGGCACTTGGTACAATAAATATTTAATATTTATCTTTCAAATGAATTTTCTATTACATTTGTAGAGTGTTCAAATATTTACAGCTGCAGATTTCATTTCATGGCTGCCAGACTGCCGTTTCAAGACAATTCTGCATGGATGCCAAACATAACAATATTTGGTTTCCTCTTTCTTCAGTGGTTGAAATTAAAGTGCTTTTTCATTCTGTGAGACTTAAAGGTGGGGTAGGTAAGAATGGAGAAACCAGCTCGAGTGCGCTAGAATTTGAAAGTACGCAGCCGAAAAAAATCTGCCCCTTCCTTCAGACTTCCTTACAGAGCCCCTCCTCCAACACACACGAACGCGCACATGACCTATGAGGGCACGAGATAAGTTTGTGCACGAGATGGAAGGCTGACAGGCAGGTAGGCCATCCAATCATTTTAGCCGGCCCGGCTTTTTACAGCGCCACGGCTTCCACAGATGAAATATTTGTATGTATTTATTGTCAAAGCATTTAATATATTCATTGCTATCGGGATGTTAAGAGCATTCCATGGAATATAACAAAAAGTGTTTCTGAAGTGAATTACCTACCCTACCTTTAATGACTATCTGCTTTTGCTAAAATCCTGCTGGTTGAAAATGAAATAGTAATAGGGGAAATAAGGAAAAGAAGAAGCTGAAAGAAGCTTACCTTTCATTAAAAAAGAGACGAGATACAATGCACCCAAAAGGCAAAATGTAACATTGAGAGGTGATACTGTGAGTATATTTGGTGACAGAAACTGTATGTTTTTTTGGATCAGATGAATGGATGTGTTCAAGACTGATGCACGTCACATCTTTGCACTTTTTCTGTGGGTTTCCTTATTGCATTGCTCACACTACCTGCAGCCATACTCTCTAGTTGTCGGAGAAGAGGAGCAATCGTATTATTCCACAGCAATGACTCTGCATCCTCCTCCTTGCTCTTGGTTTCGTCTCCATTCGCCAGCTCTGAAATGCATGGAGAGAATTGCAGTTAGCCAACTATCACATCCAAACACAGACAGTGAACACGGGCGACAAGCATGGTTCACAAGTTCACCGTCTCAAAATAAAACAGCAGGAAGTTTGATGCCACAAAGAAAGGTCACCATCCGCAGCCTCACTTCCCGTAATGTCTGTTTCTGTGCTGAAATAGTCTGTGCGTGGGTATTTTAACGAGTGCATGTGTGATGAAAATGCATGTTTGTGCATGCAAATGTATGCGATCTCTCACACTGCGTGAAGCTTTTTTTTTTTGCTGAGTATTTGCATAAACCCTTGCTTGGTGAGATGCAGGAAACGGTGGTTGCTCAAACCAACAGCTCTCTCAGCTATTGGCTGGCTTCCTCCCAAGGTGGAAATGTGGCCCTTAGCAACAAAACCTCAATTTAAAGTGTGGGGTGTTCAGTACAGTGAACAGAGGTTTGACTAAGTTGCTGGTAAAACAGCATTTCTGGGATCAAGTCTCATTGTTTTGAGGCATGCTTGGGTTACTATCATTTTGGCTTTAGACATCTAAGATCACTTCCTTGACTCAAAAGTTAGTTAGTTTGAGGTGCTGTTGTCTAAGTATACACGTAGATGCAAAAAAAACCCAATGCACTCTCTTATTAAACCATTGAAATGCCTTTATTTATAACGCCAAGTCAGGGAGTCAGAGCAGATGAAGGTATGATGCTGAAATCGGTCGGAATTACTTTTCAAGTCATGATTGCGTTTGAATAGATAAAAAAGAGAGTGTGCTAGAGTTGATTTTTGCATCACAGACCAATTAATCAAGTGTTGCATGTTCGAAAAAGTTGTACCTGTATTGTTTTTTGAATATGTCAATGGTTTAAGAGAGGTATATTGAGTATATCTGGACAAACCTGTTGTCTGTCCTGCTCTGCACTCTGTGGGTCTAACGCTGGAGCCGACACCAGGCTGCTTTATTCTGCTGTTGGCACAAAGAAAACACAACAATTATAGGTACATAGATATAGATTTTGAAGACAAGACACATGCAAGTACTGATCAGTGTAGTTTAATTTAATTTAGGAGATTTGGCTAATGTGGGTATCAACATAACAAATAACATAACACAATGTTCAAGGAAGACAGATCATGTCAAAGAAAACATCTCCATTAAACATTGCTGACTATATTCAGTCAACCAGGCTACAGGTGTATTTCCATCACGTGCCACTAGGTGTCCCTGTTGTAGCAGGGGTTGGGACGTGTGTGCAGGTGCTGCTATGTGAAATATCTTTGTGTACATTTGTGCTGCTTGTGCGTGACAGCTTGGAAGTTTTTGCGTGCGTGCAAACTTTTGTATGTGTGCAGGCGTGCGAGCCGTTGTGCATCGCATATCCCCAACAGACAGGAACTCAGATCTTAGCTTTGTGGGCAGCCTGGTTAAAGCTGTTCATGCTGTGTCACTGTGACCTGTCTCTGCACAGCCCTATCACCTCTGTGCAGAAACCTCCCCCTTGTCATGCTATGCTATGTGTTGTGGCTTCCCTCTGTATGTCACTGTTGCATCTTGCTGCCACTGTCAACTTAAGTCTGCACAATTCTGCTCACACACAGAGAAGACAATAAATACTGTGACTCACGCCTGGAAGTGTGTCTTATGCCTAATTACTACATTAGAATATAGCTATTAAAATAAGTACAAGCAGCATGGTGAGTCATTCTGATAACAAGATTTACTTCACAAATCCCACAAAAGAGTGAGTCTACTTTCGAAAAACATGGAAGTCACGACAGATATAATTATGACTCTCTGCTGATTTGACATTAGTACAAAAGGTTAGCTCTCAGCGTATTGCACTTTTTCATTCAAGTATGTCTTATTTTAATGATCTTGCTGACAGGTATGAGACAGAAAATGGACCTTTAATATTACCAGTAGGCGTTGCTTGATACCGTTAGCATTAATATACAGCGTGTGGGTGTGACTATAGAGTGCACAGTCACTTTGAAGGAGATTGTAGTGATTGGTGTAAGCTGGCACACAGGGCAGATGCAGCAGGGAGTGCTGGCCGAGGCCTGTTACAGTGTGTGTCAGAGAGGGGGCTTTGGCTCTGTGTGATAGGATTAAGAGGCTGATAATAAGGCCTCTTTGTGTGATACTGCATTCTCGGAGACATGACCTCATCGCTGTCTTAGGCCTGGCCAGTGCACTGCAGTCACAACACACGCGGCTGCCAGCCTTACCCAGATGGGCACCCAAATCTAATAGAGAGCCATTTGGAGCTATAAAGCTCTGGCTTATTGGAGAAAAAGAACCTAGTGGATGTCTAATCTCCCCTATCTTTATATATTATCCAATTCATCATATTAATCTGTCATGCTAAGTCTATTTCCACTTTCCACTTACAGTCACTGTACTTTTGGCTTTGCTATCTCTGTGATTTTCACTTTCTTAGCCTCCATCTAACGCACCTTTAATGCAACACTTAGGAAAAAGCACTTAAAAAACTCTGACCTAACAACAATCAAAAAGTCTTTACTCTTGTCCTCTTGAAACACACATTGACCGAAGTCTCAGTTCTCTTTTGTTCAGCCACATATTACACTAACATTGCGAGTTAACTTGTGAGGGAGGAGGTGCAGAGCACGTGCTGCAGGCGATAACCCAGATTTCCTGTAAAAGTGTTTTATGGTCTCCAGCCTCAGCTGCCCCACCCAATCGATAGGCGGATGGATTGTAACGACGGCCCCCGACCTCACACACAGAATTATGCCCCTCGTGCTGACACACAGCTGATGAGGTCAGCAGAAAAAAAGCAGCTTTTTAGCCTTTCTGTGACGTGAAGGTGTAAAAGCTGACACGAGTTAGTAATGACAGATAGAGGCAGTTTCAGTGGGAATGAAGCTGGATTTCACCAAGATATAGTGTACAGTAAACTTTTATGACGGTTTTAAATGGGGTTGAGTGTGTTAAGTTGAAGAATTTGTTCTAGTTAGTGACAGCATTGCTGGTCTTTCCAACGTCATATATAGCTGTCAGTGATGGTAGCTGAACATATCTAAAAAGAAATCACTAACTAACACTGGATTTGAGTTTGTCTATGTTAGCCCCTGTACTATATAACACTAAGAGCTATAGCAGTTTCCAGGGCTGTGTTTTAGGTTTTTTGTTAATATGTGGGAAATAACTCAGGCATAGTGCAAAATAACCCAAACACTAATAATGATTTCAGCCTCACTAAGGTCTTTCCTGTTATAACTTTCTCTTCCTAGCAGTCTAGATTATTTATGGACTAAAACAGGAACACAAAAAGACATTAGAAACTCAGAATTGGACAAACTGGGGCAAGGCAAGTAGGAGAAGAAGGAGGGGGAGGAGGATTTAGTGAAAGGCAAAATGGGAGGCACAATCGACTCCATCGTGTAATGGCTACCACTGCAACCTTTGTGCGCCAATAAATCTTCGGGTCATTGTCACACTGTCATTCTGGGAAGAAAAGGGGGAGCAGGAGATGGTGGAGGGGGGGAGGCAAGAGACAAGGACAGATCTTGCAAGTCGAACAGAGGGGTAGAAAGCGTACCTTTCACTTGCTGCTCTGCGTGGGCCAGGTTTGTGAGGACCACCGCGGGCCTCGGTGTGGTCAGAACTGGGGAGTCGTTTAAGTGACGCCTGCTTTTGTCCCGGGCCTGGGTTTACTCGCTCTTTCACTGAACACAGAAATGATGTGGCAAGATGTTATTTACAGGTTGTTGCAATATGCAGCAACATTTGTACTTATATGACTTAGTTACTATGAATAAGATACCATATACGCACATGTGCACAGGATAAATTCAGTCAGTCCTCATCATCTATTTAGTTGCTTTGGACCGCAGAGCAGATTTGCGAGACAAGGTTTTAGAGAAAGAGAGAAGCCTATCCCACTCAAAACAGCGGCCGTAAATCACGATTTTCACCCGGCCGACCACAAAGCATGTAAATCAGGTAAAATGTCAGCATGTGAATGGCTCCATTCATTTCCCCTTTGAGAAAACCGCTCTTGCACTAGTGCCTGCAGAGAAGATTTACAGGGATGCGACGAGTGAAATAAATGGAGTGTAGTTTTCTCTTCTACCTGTGTAATGAAATTAACCATCTAATACCTTCTCTTTATATAATTTTCTTGGATTGCATGGATGCCTCCCTTAATATAATGACTTAACTTTAAAATGATTTGACAGGGGCCACAGGGGTTACATTAAATGAAGTGTATCCCATGCATTCTAGGTCTTGTAGCTGCGGCTAGTTTGCAGTCCTTGTCCCTGGGTAGGCTTTTAAGAAATAAAAACACATAATACAAGCATTAAAAAAACAGGTATAGCCAAAGAGATTCTGCGGGCCTTTAATTGTAAATGTGGACTGATTGAAGGTTGTTCTTCAGTCTCTAGTAACTGCTCCCCTTATGGATCCTTTACTGTTATATTTTACAAGGATTTCTCTGACTAGTTCTGGGACAAGGCCATTCGCCCACTTGAAAATCAATTTTACAAGTAATAGATTTCTACAATTCTCAAAGCTTAACAAATGTACTTTCTTTGAATTCTACAATGGTGCTTCTAAACCCCATGTTTCAAATATTTTCTCTCACTAAAACAAATTCCCCATATATTTCTCCTTCCTTACCATCTTTGTGTCCCTCTACAGGGGACAGTGTGGTGAGAGATCCAGCTCTGAGGAGGCGGGCCCTCGTCCGTGGCTGCCGCTTCTTCACTTCCAGAGGGTCAGCGGGGGGTTTTGGAAACACCTTGAATGGATCCTCATCATCGCAGGGAACTGGCAAATGTGGCTTCTAGTACCACAAAAAACAATAAATGGAATAAGACGGTTTGACCAATGAGACAGAAACTGAATCTCCATATTAAACAACTTTTTTTAACAAAAAGAGAATTAAGTATTTTGGTTACTTATGTATTCATACTTTTTGAATTTTCTACTGCATACATAACAGTGATACCTTTTTAAACGTTTTTTCAGTTTTCAATAGTATTATTAATACTATTAAAAGATGCAATTATTTCCCTGAGCTGACATTAAACATCATCTTAATAGACTCTAAAATACAATTTGAACTACCATTTAAAGATGTGTGTTTGTGACTTACATGGTCCAGAGGAGAGAGGCGAGTCCCTGAGCCTGGCCTTGAGTCGGGAAATTCAAAGTTTTGTGCATGAAGACTGAAAATAAAAAAATAAAAAGCATTATTTCTGCTACATGGTAGGTGCAAAACACAAATTGTCTCAGTCAGAACCTCAAATCATGAAGGATGTTGAAGTTTGTGACTGACCTGAAGGTAGATGGAGGTCGGTTGTCACGGTCTACACCAGCAGAGCTCTTTCCAAAAAGTTGCCTGTGTCCATCTCTGGGAGTGAACGGTCGCTGGGTGGACTGGACTCGCAGGGACTGTCTGGCTTCACTGACTATTTCTGCACTTGTTTTCCTCACAGCGTTGCGCCGTGGAACAAATGGACTGAGAATCGGCTGTTTTCTCTCCATTGAGGCCATTTGGGCCTATGTGACATCTGCCAAGACAGTCTGCCAATTGTCTTCAGTGGTTTGACTTCATTATACAATGGTTACAGGGTGTCTCACTGATGGGACACAGTCTGAGGTATAACAAAAATAAACAAGGATAAGGCCAGAAGAGAAAAATAACACCAGGTGTAAAATGCATCCAAGTGGCAATGAATAACAGTTGCAAAACTACAAAATAAAGTGAATCTATGTTTACAAATGTCCTGCATACTTAAAGTATAGTGGATCCACAAAGTTTACCTAAAGTAAAAGTATGCAATTGTGAGCAGAATAGCTCCTTTCAGTTTTATACTACATGTCATGATTGCATTTAAAGCTGTAGATTATTATTGTATAATCAATGAATCAGACTTAAATAAACTTAAAATAAAATGGTTTATAAATTTTAGAAACAAAATGTAAAAAGCAAAGTCATTTCTAATAGAGGCGAAGCTTATTTCAACAAGATCCTATTGGGTAGTTTAACCAATGCATCAAATTATAGGACATTCATGTTTTGTATGAAATGATTCATCTGCAAACTCCAGATGAATGTAGTGGAGTAAAAAGAACATGCTTCTGATAGGTGGTGAAATAAAAGTATAATGTAGCAAAAAGGTGCAACTGCGTAAGTGAAAATACAAGGACCTTAAACATTTTACCCAATGTTGTACTGTTTGACATAGACTACTGCATGGTGGACACCTCAAATAAGTTAAACAGCGTGACAGTCCAATTATATTGTATCTAAAACTGCAAATAGCATCCTAATAATAATGGTTGTCACATTTTAATAAAGTGCATAAATATACCAGCATACGTGTGTTTGTAATTGTCACTGTGGTTAAAATGTGAATTAAACTATATGGTAGATATATGCTTTATTTATCCAAAATTGTTTTATATAATAATGTTTTCAGTTGGTTAACTAAATCTAACAGGGCAGCCTGTGTGAGTGAAAGAGTAGTCCCACTGCGCGTTCACGCTCCGTCTCCATGGTAACCAAATGCCGCTGTGGTATATTGGACAACAAACCCCAACAAAATAACCTAAAGAGGCCGAAATAACATGTTTCTTTAACCCCGTAAGAACAGTTTTTAACTTATTTTCTGTAATCAAGTGTACACGACTTTTACATGAACAGAGGAGGAGGTTAACTGAAACAGGAAGCGTTTAATGACCCGGGGTTTGAGTTAAAGTCTGTCCACCTAAACAGATAACATTAGTAAAAAACAATTTACCGTTAACCCCAGTTCAATCCTCTGTGATGGATGGGACAGTTATCATTTTAGATCCTTGATTCGGTTTCCAAACACAAAACAATAACAACACCTGAAATGTGTAAAAATCTGTTAAATTTCCCCTAGCTTGCAGCAACATAGCCCCAGAAAGAACGTGCACGAGCTTCACTAATGGCAGTCTCGCGTGATTAGGTGACGCGCATTTACCAAAATGTGGAGGTTGGATGCAAACTTCAGCTTCGTGCGGAAAATTGTAAGTAAAATGAGCACATTTCCTGGAAATGTGTTGGTTTAAGATGTGTTACTATTCTCCCTGATAAATATGTGCTCCGTGTTTGATGTACCACTGAGTTAAAGGAAACTTTATTTTGAAAATGTGTAGTATTTTGTTGGGGCCTAGGACACGCACTACAAATGTCCCGGATGATATAACAAAGTTTTAAGGTTATCAATTTACACTTCACAGCATTAATATAGCAGCAGACAACTCTTTGCTACATATTATTTACAGTTTTTGTTTGCTACCCCAGTTGAATGAAGTCACTCTCCCTTTTTGTGTGCTGTAATCCAAGTTTCTTTTTGATTAAACTTAATTAGCCAGGACGTGCCATGCCCCCATGTAAATGCATGAGTCCTTGTTTTTGTAGTCCACTGGCTAGCTAGTAGCCCTCATATCAGCCTCTCTTTAATTCTACTCTTATACCTGTGTAATACAAATATTTTGGTTCATAAAAACACTTAAAAGCTCAAACAAGTTGATATGGTGTAAATCCTTATTTTTTTACTACCTATTTATGATGAAACAAATCAAGAATTATACTTCATAATGTAGCCTACCTCCTACACTGATTAACAATACAACACACATCAGTGAGCTATAGTGAGGCAGACTATATGACTAATGTCCGTAGACCACAATGTCTTCACTTTCAGGCTTTGAGTGAATATATTTAATTTTTTGTTTGAAGCTTTATAGTAATTTATTTATGTTGAGTTGGTAATTTTGTATGAAAAAGATAGAACAAATATAAAGAACAGAGAAAAATATAATGCATACTTTTGTATTACTTTATTGTGTTAGCAGCAATATGCTATCATACCTTACCATTATAATAATAATAATATTAATAATACACTTTTTGTATAGCACTTTTCAAAACATAGTTACAAATGCTTTAACATAAAAATACACAGACATCAAGTCAATTACAACAGCATCTACACATTAGAACACATTGTAAAACACATAGAAAATAATAAAACAAAAATACATAGAATAAGAATAAATGAAAAATTAAATAAGACTACAAATATAATCACAAAGTGTGTTTTTAAAAGTGACTTAAAAGAGCTGACAGATTTTGCAGCCTTGATCTCCTCAGGTTGAAGGATATATGTGGGGTAAACACTGTAGCAATAATTTGTAAAAGCATTTTAAGAAAAATCACAAAACATTATTGCAGCTAAGAAGAAACAAATGGCTCCACTGAATATAAATCATTATAAATGCTCCTATCATTTGATAGAAATGTTAAACGTTTATTGACCTTTCAGGATTATCACAGGTTCATAAAGACAATTGTCATCAGAAACTGAATTATTTTGCTGTTACAATATGACATCAACCCTAACTACTTGAACATTTTTAATATAGACTTACAAATAGACCAAATATTTAATTGCAATAATATAATAAAAAAACAAAAACTTTTTATCACAAATCTGAAAACTAAAATTCTCCAGCAATTGAAAATATCAGTGAGCAGTTTTAGTATAGAAAAATGTGTGTTGATCTCTAAAATATATTTAAAGCAATAATCATAGATATGATAAAGTGTGACTTAAATATATATCAAACACTGTATATTTTGTACATTTTGCTTTCGTAAACCTACACTTTGAGGTTTATTATCCTCATGAGGCAGGCTTCTTATTCTACTACTTTCTGACTACAATTCCCATAACGCCGGTTGGTGTAGTCCTGTTGTTGTCAGGGTCATACTGTAGTTCTGAGCAGCAATCCTAGCTGTAACCTACTTTCACCTCTCCCCTCAATCATGTGAAAAACACACAAGTCATTCTTTATAATCCTGTAAGCTCTATCTATTGACATTTCAGCTCTCTGTGACACAGAACGATGTGTGTAGAAACATTAATGTTAGTAAATAAAAGCAATATATCGTGTTAAATACAAGTAGCCTTAATTTTAGCTGTATAAAAAGTTACATAATTATTAACCAAAGACCGATGTAAAAAAAAGTATACAGAAAAGTTAATAATAAATAACATACATTAGCATTGTAAAACAAATTATAATCTACAACAATATTAAATATATGAAATTATCACTCAGAAAAATCATTTTTGAACTTTTCGTAAAAATATTTTGCGCTGCGTCATTCGGTGTTATCTACCATTTTGTCGTGACAGAATGACGTTTCAAGAAAATGAGTGGACTCAAAATGGCCGCGGACTTACGCTGTGTTCGTCAGCGAGACTTTCACACTCTAGTTGTGGTCCACTGCAAATTGGTCTTTGATGCAACAGTCCTGCTCCGGCTGCTCCACGAAGGACCGCCCTGACCCACAGTGGTACAGGAGAAAAGTCCTCCAGCTTTGACTTCCTCTGTCCGTTTGTTTTCAACCAAGACATCCCCTTCACTGTCTTCAAGCTTCACAAACTCAAGCATCAGTGCAGAGAAGAATTTGATCGATATTCATAGAAAAACTCAGGGTTCAGGAGTACAAGATGAAGAAGTTCATCCATTCAACTCACGGTTCGCTCTGGGTCTCTTTAACCCGTCTACATGGGCCGACTACTTTATACACCAATCAGGTCTGTCTGGATTTGCACATTCGTCCACTCATAAACCTTTTCCCCCTAGCTTTTTCTTTTTTGCACTGTGAAATATACATCTGAACAATCTTGTGAGTCCCCGGTTGGATTTAAATAGCCTTACATGCTTCAGTCTCTTGGATACAGTGAACCTGATTGGCCGAGAGAGCCTGCTGGGCATGACCAATCACAGGGCATCACCATGGAGCTTCCCAGCCAATGGGAGGAGGGAGATGGTCTCTGTGATTTCATTGTCACTAGGGGAGGGGGAAACATACTGCCAGGACAGTTGGCACTAACATGCTTAGTGGTGGACTCTATTATAGTGAGAGTCTATATGTTTGAGGTAACCTGTGGAGCGTTGCCAAGGAGAGAATAGCACAGGGCGGGTCTACAGATGGAGCTCCTCTCACCAGCAGCTGTACAGTCCCACAGCACACAGGCTCATAGAGCACCGCGTCACTGTTAGCGGTGCTGCTCACGTCACAGGAATGAATGGGTTGAGCCATCGTCCTGCTTGAAGGTGGCGTGTCTCCTTGGCAACCAGCTCCATCTCTGGCCAGAAGCTTAGACTGACAGAGCCCTCGAATCACAGGAGGACGGGCGCTCCTTATCTGTCCCTCCATCGCCATTCAGTCCTGGTTTGACCCCTGAAGAGTGATATCTCCTCGTCGCTCCATCTGTCCCTCTCTGTTCTTCCTTTCCTTTGACCTGTTTTTGCCTCAGTATTGCTTTTTTATCAGCTGCATCCCTCACAAAACCCTTTCATCTCTGAATACCAGAGATACAATTATTTTGTATTTTTACCATCCATTTTATGAATTAGGTTATTTGTTGTTAAAGTCTTTTTAATTTTTTAATTTTAATTTTGTCTGAAATCCAACATCCTGAGATATTAATTTCCTTAAAAAGAGCAGCAAAGGATAGGAAGCTGAAACTGAGGAATATTTTCTACAAAAATGTATCAACGCTGTACAACTTGATTGATTATCAATGTTGTATAGTGTGCGGAAAACTCCTAAGCACGCACGCACACACACACACACACGTTTCACACAATTGTTCAGGCCAAATTGATACTGAGGGACTAAAAATAGTACTTATTATACTTTATAATGATCAATTAGCATGTCCTTCATTTCATACTGCCTTGGCATATATTTCAAGGACTTGCACGATTTATGTATAGTTTCAGACTCTCCAAAGTATGTAAACAATGTAAAATATATAATTTAAATAGTGTTTGAGATCTTTAGCATAACAGCTCATCTAGAACTTGGATATTGCACTATGACATAAAATAAGTCCACAAATTAGTTTTTTACATTTTTGTTAATGATAAAATATAGGATACTAGCATCTTCCAGATCTTTTGGTATAGCTCTTTTTAACATGTACCCTTTTTGTTATTCTTTGGTAAGGTTTTCTATCAGTGAAGAAAGTAACTGAGTAAAGTTGTAATGAGCCAGCAGTCTGACGTTTGACATGGCAGTGAGTTGTTCTGAGGTTTTGCTCTAGTCAGCAGCTCCTTGTCTCTGAAAGACATGGTGGTGCGTGTGCTCTGACACTCAAAAAACTTTTCAGCACTTCATCTCCACTCCAGCATGTTTTTGTGCTTAGTCGGAAAAATCTCAGATAAAATAGGTTCTTTAAGGAAAGCTAGAAATAAGGAGAGCTGTCTCATTCAAGAAGGACAGGACAGAACAGTGTGTATTTGACATTTTGTGGAGATAAAAAGATGCTACTCTCTAACTTTTTTTACTTGACAACAAGCAGTTTTTTCATTTAATCAGTGCTGGCTGCCAGTTGTATTAGGGAGGGAAAGGGAGAAGGAAATATTGTTACTTAATTTTGTACCGTCTGTACATTTTATCCATGTTCCTTGGCATATTTGTTGATGTTGTAAATGTCAGGCTGCCGCATTCATGTCATGAGATTGAAGCATCTTTCCACACAGTCAGAGGCCGAGGTGGGCAGAAAGCCAGAGTCTCCTAAAAGTGAACTAACACAGTATGCAGACGTCTTATCGCTCATCTCTCTTTTGGCGCGTTTCCACTACAGCCCGCAGCCCGGTTTAAGAGGGCTGTGACGTCAGCGGCCCGTCTTTGGTTGCGTTTCCACTTGGCCTAGTACCGGCCGGCGGGTCCTAATTCACAGTTTTTCTGGCCTCATAAAATCGAGGGTCCAGGGCCAGAGACAACGAGGCTGAGTCGGGCTGAGTATGCTAAACTAGAGAGAGCGTCGCTGGCAAGGGGGCAACAACTACAACAAGATGGACATATTTGACCGTGATTTAATTGTAATACACGTTTCAAAA